CCACCCACCGGCCTAAGCCCCAGATGGTAGGTGTTTCCCAAACAGATGCGGCAGCCCAGGGCGTCCAGCTGTTCTGTTGTGATCCCTTTCATGGTGGCCTGTGTGCCCACTGGCATGAACACGGGAGTGGCCACAGGTCCATGCGGCAGTCGCAGTTCACCCGCTCGGGCCCTGGAGCGACTGCACTCGGCCACCAGCCTCATGATCCGCGGGGCAGACTCCAGAGAAGTCGGCACAGCAGCCCCCGCCGCCATCTTGCTTTCTGGAACCACGTGAAATACGGAACACCGTGGGCGGCGCCATGTTGTTTGAAGTCACGTGATATAGGGAGCGGCGTGGAATCGCCGGGAGAGCGTCTGGGAACCATGGCAACCGTTGCCTAAACGCCGGTCCAAGCTAGACGACCAGTTCTCCCGCAGGGCCGCTAAGACGAAGACTCAAACGCTACCTACAAGACTCTTTCGTGCTACTTTTCGATCTACAATTGAAAGCCTCTCTGAGCCGTAATTTTCTCCTGCCTAAAGTGCTGGGAATTATAACATCCTGACAAAAGGACGCTGTACAGATTTAATGAAGAGTGCCGGTACTACATAGGTTTAAACAGGGGCTGGTAGAGAATTTTGTCTGGTTATCCGAGAGCTTAGAACAGTACGTAGCACATAGTAATTGCTCAATAATCATCATTTTATTCGATGAAATAAGGAATTCCAGGTATACAGAGAAGGCTGAGGCCCAGAGCCTGTCTGCACGTATGAATTCATTCAGTGTACACCTATATATAAATCCCCACTGGACCTGCCTGCAGGCTGCGTGGGGCTGAGGGAGGCTGAGTCACGGATTTATCCAGCTCTGGGTGTGTTCCATTAATAACAATACGTAACATATAATCGATATTTTTGGAAATGGAGCTGATTGTGGCCAGCAGAGAGCGCCATTGCCCCAAAACTCTGGCACTGAGATGACATCTATCCTAAACCGGGCTGTGGGCAAGACTAGCTCCCTGGGACCCTCAATCCGATCATTCCGTAAAAATGGCTAGTGATGCCAGGTTCTCGGGGTGCTGGAGCAATCGCTGAGGAAACTCCTCCAAAATATCCAGCAAGGAGGTTGGTCACAGGCCTTTGCTATTTACTGTTGTCTTTCTCTGAAATATTTCTCCTCTCTGGATTTTTCATGTATGGCTTCTCCAGTTTTTTAAAAACATTATTATATTTTGGGTCGGGGATTTAGCTCAGTGGTTCCTTCCGGTGCCTGCCTCCCAAGCGCAAGGACCGGAGTTCGATCCCCAGTACCAAAAACAAAAACACAAACACTGATACAGATCATATCACTTAAAGAACCGATACTAACCTTTCTTCGGCACTCCCCACTTCCTCTTTACAGCTGCCTCCTAGACCCCACTGGGCATCTGTAGTCAGCGAGACTTTTATGTGTCAGTGCCATGCAGTGTGACTCCTACCTGTAGTCTCAAGTACTCAAAAACCTGAATCAGGAGGATCAAAATTTCAAGGGCTAGGACTGGAGATTTAGCTCAGTGGTTCCACTGCCTGCTTTGCAAGCACAACGACCCAAGTTCAATCCCTGGTACCAAAAAAAAAAAAAAATTTAAGGGTTGCCTCGACAATTTAGTGAGAACCTGACCCCAAAATAAAAATTTAAAAGCTAGGGATATAACCAAGTACTGGGAACAAAACTTTATGTCGAGGGCCAGAGATTTAACTTAGAGACACCGTGCCTTGGAAACACAAGGTCATGAGTTTGATCCCTGGTATTACCCCCCCAAAAAACCCCTCACCTTTATGTGTCCAAAACAGAGTCCCAGACTTTCCCTCCAAGCTTGCCCACCCTCTGCATCTTCCCCTCCTCAGTAAATAGCAACTTGATCATTCCAGAAGCTCAGGACCAAAACTTCAGGATGGGGATCGAATTTGGGACCTTGCGCTTGTGAGGCAGGCGGCGACACCACTGAGCCACTTTCTGTTTTTACACACTGAATCTATATTTGAATTATAAAACAAAATATGGGGCCGGGGATTTAGCTCAGTGGTTCCGCCGCCTGCCTTGCAAGCACAAGGACCCGAGTTCGATCCCTGATACCACAAAAATAAATAAATAAATAAATAAATAAGCAAAATATGAACAAAACATTTAAAATGATCTCAACTATTTGGCAACTCATCACATCATTGCAAGAGACAACTTTGACCTTAAGAAAGGTTTAATTTTATGAAAAACTTAAATTGGACAGTTTGTTCCTATGGGATTTAAAACATGTTTTAAAAAAGAACCTGGCAATAAAACCAGCTTCTATCCTGAAACAATTGTGTATAAAAACAACAGAAAATCCTGAAGCTGAGTAGGTAGTGTTCTAATCAATGCACTTTCCTTCACTGCGGGTGTCTCTTGTCTTCTATATCTAATTTGTTGGCAAATCCTAGCAGGTCTGCTTCCAAAAGCTATTTATTTATTTTGGTTTTTTGAGACAGAACCTCACTGTGTAGTTGAGACTGCCCTGGAACTCACTGTGTAGCCCAGGCTGGTCTCAAACTCACAGCGATCCTCCTGCCTCAGCCTCCCGAGTGCTGGGATGACAGGCATGCGCCACCACGTGAGGCTTATGTATTTAATTAACAATACCGGGGATTGAATCCAACCTACATCCACCACCTTTTTTTGGAGACAGGTTCCACTGAGCCACTAAGTAACCTAGGCTGGACTTGAACTTGTCATTCTCCTGCCTCAGCTTCCCAGAGTGCGGGAATTACACACGAGTGCCACTGCACTTGGCCTATTATTGGGTTTTCTTATCCAATCATATCTATAAGAAACATCTGAGAGCTGGGGATTTAGCTCAGTGGTGCCGCCGCCTGCATCCAAAGTGCAAGGACCCAAGTTCAATCCCCGGTACAAAAAAAAAGAAACACTTGAAAAAATAAAAAAAGAAACACTTAACTGTGTTGTGTACATACATGATATTCTCAGCACTTTCTTACAAATTGCATTTTGTGGGGGTGGCAGTGTGGTTCAGTAGTAGAGCACTTGCACAGCATGCCTGAGGCTCAGGGTACAACCCCCAACCGTAATAGGAACCTCTTCACCGGGTGGGACCCATGGCCTCTTTACCTGCTAGGCATCTACCAGACCCTGAGCATCACCCCGTTTCTAACACCTTTTTATGTTGTGTTGTTCCTTAATGTATTTTTGATTTCTTTTTCTTATATGTATTTCATCAGTCTGTACTGATTGCACTTTCTGTGAATAATCTCCTACCCCCTTTCACTGTAATAGTAAGAACTGTAAGTCACAATTGATTGGTGGCCTGTTATGTACCAGGCTCGGGGCCACTACACTTTTGCCGATTAGCTGCAGTGGCGGTACACATCCACAATACCAGCAGGAGCAAGCGCCTGAGGCACCCCTAGGTTCCACAGAGACCCCGTCTCCTAAAGTCATGATTCACTCTCCAGTGCTGGAAAAAAAAAATGAGGCTGATTATCATTGTGAAGTTGCACAGGTTTCTGGGCGCGGTGGTGCACTCCTGTAATTCCAACAGTTGAGAGGCTGAGGCAGGAGGATCACAAGCTGAAGATCAGCCTGGGGTACACAGGGAGACTGTCTCAAATAAATAAATAAATAAATAAATAAATAAGCCGGGCATGACGGTGCATGCCCGTAATCCCAGCACTCAGGAGGCTGAAGCAAGAGGATCGCTGTGAGTTCGAGACCAGCCTGGGCTACATAGTGAGTTCCAGGTCAATCTCAAGTAGATAGTGAGACTGTCTCAAATTTTTCAAAAAAAAAAAAAAAAAAAAAAAAGCAAACAAACAAACAAAAAATAAAATAGCCAAACACATTCAGGGACATACAGTGAACAAACAACGAACGCCAACTGAATGAACAAACAGCCATGCCCTTAAGGAGTAAAAGAGACAGAGTAGGACGGGGGATTTAGCTCAGTGGTTCTGCTGCCTCCTTCGCAAGTACAAGGTCCGGATGCGACCGCTGGGCTGTTTGGCTTATGAGAGGATGGAGTGTATTTAGAGGAGGGAAATGAGCTCTGTCACCGAGGGGAAAAGGGAGGAGAGGGCGTATCAAAGGCTCAGGGGCACCATCAGAGCCTTAGTGCGATTCAGATGCAAAAGTTGGGGGCGCCCTGAGCCTGTTCTTGGAAAACATGAGGAAAGCTCTAGTTTCAGGACTACGGACAGCGACACAGGCGTAACTTGGAGACCCGGGACGCCTTGGCTTGGGGGCGGAGCCTAGAGAAGCGTCCTATTAGAAGCGCCCTCTGCGCAGGGGTTACCGCCCCGTGGAAGGCGCGGCTTGCAGGAGCGCCTACTGGGAGTCGTGAGCTCTCTGCTCAGGACACACCCTACCGGGCGGTACCTTCAAGTCCCATAGTTGCTCAGTGACAAAGCTCACTAAATCCGCCGGGCAGTGCATCCCGGTGAGGTTTTCATTGCGCTGAAAGGCGCAGGGCGCAGGCACTGGGAATCCTTGGGACTGCCTAGAGGTTTGGAGAGGCAGTGTTCAGAGACCGAACCTGAGGTCTCCACGGACTTGGCCTGGGTAGAGGTCTTCCCCATCACTCCTGGGCCTAACTGGATCGGGGACCCTGGGATCGCCGCCCCTGCCTCCCTTCTTGCCTCAGCCACGTACTCCTCTGCCCTGTGGCCCCTGGTCTGGTCGGGTCTGAATCCTCAATCCCCAACATCGCGGGGGAGCAGGGGGAAGAAATCTTCACCCAACCCACCACAGCCCCGGGAACCCGGGTACACCTGCAGCTAGTTGTCCTCCGGGCCAAGCGCACCTTTCCCTCACCTGCCGCACCACCTTGTCTCGCACCAATGAACGGCTACCGGGACCCCTGCCTGTCCAGCAAGGACCCGGCCTCATGGCTCCTGGAGGCTCCGCAGAGCAGGGACGGTGCTCACCGCTATATTCCCAGCACAGGACCCAACATCTAACTGCCACCAAATACACACAAAGTGACACAATGCGACTCACACGTGTTTATTATGGGATGGGTCAGAGCGAGCATCTGAGCCTAAGGCCTGCTGCGTTGCTGTGTGTCCCGGGGTCTCTCTCGGGCATGTAAATAAAGCACAAGTGAACATGCAGATCAACACCGGCTGCAGTCAGGCCAGGGGGCTTCCCACAGGGCCAGGTCCCGTCAGCACCCAAGAGGCAGCAATGTAGAGTAAATGCCACTTCCCAGCCACGGCAGAGGATCATCAGGCCACTGGGCGAGGACCCCTAGCCAGGGACTCCATCAGGGCACCAAGGGCACTGCTTAACCAGGGAGCTGGAAATGCACTGTCATGCCGCATACACAATGCCCACGGCCACCTCAGCCACAGACCGAGGGCTTCTTTCCCCTTCCTCCACTCCTGGGCGTCCTGAGCCTTCTGTGGTGAGTCTGCAGCGCTCCCCAGCTCCTGCTAAACCCCTCCTGGGGCTCTATGGGGACTCCGGGCTCAGGACACCATCTACCTAAAGCACCCCAACCTTGGCCAAGGAGTCTCCACTGCAAGCCCACTCTCCCCAGCTGTTCCCCGCAGGGCCTGGCAGGTGCTGAGGGCCGAGACAATGCCACTGGTCTGGGACATCACAGGACGCTCAGCACCAGTGAGGTCCCCAAGCCGGCTCAACATGCCAAGGGCGCCGGGTTCTGCAGCTCTTCACCGCCCGGATGCCCGGGTGTGTGTGACCCACAGGCCAGGGGCGGGCTGGGGGCAGTCAGGAGTACGAGGGTGGTGGCTGATCTGGGAATTGGTGGCCTACGTGAAGGCCGGTGCAGGCGACACAGCGGCTGGGCAGCCACGTCGTTCTTCACATCCTCTCCTGCGCGCGAGTGACACCGGCTCCCCACTCGTGTCCTCTCACTTTCAACACAGTACAAGTCTCTTCTTGTCCTGGCCCTCCAAGTGTCCACGAGGGGACCACAGATTCCTTCTTCGAAATCGGAGTTGGGACCTACCCCTCCATGATGCTACCTTGGTGGGCTCCTGCGGCACCTCCAGGTCACCCAGATGTTGTCACTGTGGCCACCTCTTCTTCCCGCCTCTCCCCAGTAGTGGAGACATCAGTGCAAATTTCCCTCACTTGGCAAGGCCAGCCTTCACCTGCCCTGCGCCAGCAGAGGAGCTGCACGCACACAGGGTCCCAGCCTGTTGGAACACAAGGTCACCACACGGGGAGGCCAGGGGCGCAGCCCAGGTCTCAGAGGTTGGGGCATGCCCAGGGCACACAGGTTCTTCCCAGGCAGGCGCCAGCGGAGTGGTGCCACCAGCACAGCCCCTCTCGTGGGGACAGGCCAGTGCGGCCCAGGGCTCAGCAGCTTCTCCACTCCACGCTTAGCCACGGAGTTCCTGCGGTGAGGCGCACTTCTTCTGCACGCGGGACAGCAGCTTGAGCCTCTACCCACGAAAACTAGGTCCCCAACGCTGCAGCACAGCCCCGAGAGGTCTGCTACTCAGTCCAGGAATCTGGAACGGAAAGAGCTCTACTCTCCACGTGAGGCTCAAGGTACGTACTGAGGTGTCCTGCAGATGACAGCAACGCCAGCTCTCCCCGCATAGCTGGCCCAGGTCTGGGCTTACATCACCAGGCTTTCCTCAGCCCCATCCCAAGTGAGCTAGGCCTGTCCCAAGAGCAGTGGCTCCTGCGGGGACACTGCGCTGTACAAAGGTATGAGATCACACTACAAATGACACCAGAACTCCCAGAGGCAAAATAAGGCTGAGCTGCTTTTCTGGGGGAGGGGGTACTGAAGATCGAACTCTCGTCCCTGTACTTGCAAGGCAGACGGCAGAACCACTGAGCTAAATCCCGGCCCTCGAGCTGCATTTCTGGATTGCACCTCAAAGGCCAGTGGGGGCCACTGCGGACCTCCCAGACGCTGCTGGGAGCTGGTGCCAAGCCGCCCAGGTGGAGTCTGTGCTGGCAGGCAGCCGCCCCGGAAGGGAAAGATGTCTACAGGTGGCCCCTCTATGGTGACCAGGGGCCAATCTGCCATCCTCACCTCGCTTCCTGAGGGCAAGAGCAGCCTGGCTGGAAGGTCAGACGCGCAGGCCTGGGACGCACGCACTTTGCTTTTTCTTTATTAGTCTACATTCAGCTGAACTCAGATTTACTGCCTGAATGACCCAGACATACAAAATCCCCAGTCTTTCCCACTGGTTTTTAAAATAAAATCTTCACTTATAAAACTGAAACACTAAAGCATTAAAATACAGAAAGCTCATTTAACTCACTTCACAAAAGCATTAACAGATGACGTATCCCCTCCGTAACTATTTCAAGACAAACGAAGTCAACGTTAACACCAAGTGTAAAAAGACAGAGGGTTACCGAACGGCAAGAACTCAAACTCTACCCAGACAAGGCTGTAATGGCAACTAACAAACCACTGAAGACACGGAGTCCCAAACACGGCTAAACAGGGGTCACAGCACGGCTGGGGCCGCTGCACCTCACAACACAGCAACGTGGACGGGTGGGGCGGCCGGAGGGCCGGCTGACGTGGTAACTGTGATGTGTCGAACTGAATCGTCTGGCGGGCGGGCGGGCAGAAGTGCAGGAGAGGAGGCCGCAGCCCGCGAGGGCCTTTATCTGTACTGGTAGTTCATGCTGTGGTCTGCGTTCCTGCTGTAGCCGCCCTGTGAGGACTGGTAGGAGCCGGGAGGGCCGCTGTAGTTCTGGCCAGAGCCCGGGGAGTTGTAGTTCGACTGTGACGAGTAGCCTCCTATGAGAGAGAGGGTGGGTTAGAGGAGGGGACGAGGGCCCACCCGCCACCGCGGCTCCCCAGGAGGACAGCCCCATGGGCTTGATTTGCTCTGCTAAGTCTCGCACTTGTCCTCGGCTCTGGCTGTCACCAACAGCTTTAGACACGAGGTCGCTGTGACCCTAACTTCTGGGATGGTGACCAAGTGGTGAACTGGCCAGTCACAGAACCAGGGGTGCCTGAGCCCACTACTGCGTCAGAGTTTGCACCCGGCATCACAACTGAGCACGGCCCTCATCGTCGCTGGCACCTGAAGGGGCCAACCCTTCAACGAGCCTGGCAACTTCTCGTTTCTGAAAATGAAGCGCCCAAGAGCTGGTGTGGCCCCAGACCTGCTGTGCACAGCGTCCCGTCACCGTGACCCCACTACATGGTGCTCTGCTTCTGCCGGGAGATGCCCCTGTCACAGCACCTCTGGGACCCCCGGCTGTGCCACGTGCTGCCCAGGCCCACCTTGTTTGCCTTGGTATGAGGAGCCGCCCCCAGAACCTCCGCCGTAGCCCCCATGGGACCCTGGGTTGTAGGACGACCCGCCTGAGCCGTAGCTGTTCCCACCGCTTCGGCCTCCACTACCACTGTAGTCTGGGGGAGAGAAGACAGTGTGGTTAGGGGGCCTGCAAGGGCGCCCCTGGACACGGCCCAGCACCGGACTCTACGGATGTCTGCTTCAACTTGGCACGTTATCAGACCCACAAAGTGGCGCCAGGGGCCACCCAGAACCCTGGGAGGTCAACCGGCTCTAGGTCAGGCTGGTCACCAAGCTCAGATGCTCCACTCTCTCACGCTGCCACTATCTTCCCCTCCAACTCAAGTGTGAATGTCAGTTATGACCAAGTTCAATGGCAAACCGAAATAAAAACTGCCATTGTCCTAAATTCTGCAAGCTGAGTTTCAGACCCTCTCCGGGGTCTCTGAGAGGTGTGACAGCACCCCACTGTCACCAGGAAGTGCTTCCTGGCTTACTCATGCATGTCACAGCTCGGCACCCTCGAAGCCCCCAGCTGCACTGAGCTCGCTCCTCCCTCACAAGAGCACCTACACTGCCAGTGAGGCCGGTGCAGTCTGGGCACGGGTCAGACAAGGATGTAGCTCTTTGCAGGGGGCTGGAGGCGGCAATGCCTCGTTGCAGTCCCAGGAAGGTACGTGGCAGTCTCCACCCAGCCAGAACCTCAGGACAGGACGGAGGCCACAGCTACACCTGTCCGTGAGGAAGACTGGGGTCCTGACTCCGTATCCTCCCAATGCCACCCATGGCCACACAGCCTGTCCTCTTCCTCGGCCCACAGGCCTGGGCCGTGCTGGGCTGTGGGGGCACCAGAGGCCAACTCACTGAATTTGCTCTCGTAGCTGTAGTCCGAGCCGCCCCCGCCTCCCGGCGAGCTGTAGGAGTTCGAGTAGGAGTAGTTGCCTTGCCCATGGTTGTAGCCCTTCTGCTTGCCCTGTGGTGGGCCATAGTTGCCGTACTGGCTCTGGTTGTAGGACTGCTGCTGACCCTGGTGGGACTGGTAGCCTGAGCCGTAAGATGGCTTCTGCTGGGCCCCATGTGGCGGCTTCTTCCCAGTGTGTTTTGGGGGTACCGGTGAGTTGTAGTTGTCCCCTTGGTAGTAGGAGCCATAGCCGGAAGAGCCACCACCGCCCCCGCCGCCGCCACCACCAGCATTCCCAGAATGCCCTCCGTTGCTGTAGAACTGACCTAGACAGGGAGGCAGCGGGTCAGGCGGAGGACGAGGAAGGGAAAGGGGGTGGGGGAGGAGGGTGGCAGCTGTGGGCCCTGAAGGCTGACCTGCAAACCTGTCACCCAGAGGCAGCCGGGGACAGGAGGAGAGCAGGCTCTGCTGGAGAAGGTCACCTGGCTTGGACCAGCCCAGCCTTCAGCTCCACTCACCCATCAGCTGATGACAACAAGGAATCTTTGCCAAGCAGCGGCGCGACAGCAGCTTTTGCAGCAGGTGTCAACATTACAATGAGATGGGCTCCAAGTGTTGATGACATTCAGGACTGACGGCTACCCAGATGTCCCCAACGGTGACAGGAAAGCAAAGCCCCAGAGAAGCAGCAAGCCACCCCCACCTTCTCCCTCTGTGCTGGAAATGGGCTGGACAGGGACAGGCTTGGGGGACGCCAGATCCCCTATGGCGCACCCCTGGAGCCACCAGCATTCCTGAAGGCCAAAGGGTCCGACCTCATTCCCGAAGAGCGAGGCGAGGCTCAGATCAGTGACAGCGGAGGCTCCCTGTCTGCCTGCGCAGAAACCCACGGCTGAGGAACAGGGGAGACTGGCTCAGGGGGAGCAGGGCAGGGCTGGGCACCTATGCCCTTCCTTTTTCTCAGCACAGTGGCTGTGGAGCACTGGCCAGCCTGAGCCTCGGGACAGAGGAGCTGGTCCTGAGGCCCAGAATGCTACAGCAAGGAACAGCTTCTGGTCACTAGGTCTATCAATGCTCTCCCCCACCAGAGCTTGTGGTGGAGCAACAGGACAGCCTATGGAGTGAGGGGGCAGGCAAGGATGAAGCCACTCTGCAACACCCGGCGTGGGGTACCTGGGATCCCACAGCAGACGGGCCTGGACCCATGGACCCAAGGGGACCCACCCCTCGGGGCCCAGGGCAGGCGTGACGACAGCCTGTACGTCCTTTCCAGACAGAGCACCAAGGGCTCCAGGCCTTCTGGGGGTGGTGACAGGGGAGACCTCACACACCTCCCACCCCTGGAGACGACACAGTACCCCATGCTGGTGGTCAGGTGCCACAGGGCACAGGTACTCGCCCACAGGACTGGTCTGCAAATCAGGTGTCTGTTTTCTTCAAGCAGCACCCCCCTCCCCCGTCACAAGCCACAACACTGAGATGCAGGAAAGCAAACATGCGAGGCTCAGTGCGGACCCTGTGGACCCCTTCCTGAGAACCCCATCACCACCCCTTCCCCAGTGTCCTGCACTGAGCGCCCCACCTGCCCCGCCTGAAGCCAGGAATGAATGAAGACGCAAGTACGGCGGGCTTGTTACTTTAACATGTATTGATTAAAAAAAAAATAATAGGAGGAGAAGTTTTCAACGTCATTCAGGATAACTATTTCCTGGTATAAAAAGACATTATTCTCAAACAATAACTTTCTAAAAAAAAAAAAAAAAAAAAATACATCATGCAATCAGTTTTAAAAAGTTTCACTGAAAGTTTCAAACCTTGGGGAACAAATCATACAGTAACCGTTTTGACCAGTTTTTGCCTGAATAAACGCAAAATCTTGCAAGTCAACACAGATGCAGGCTTTGTTATGAAAACGAATGCTGAGCGGAAGCTAAACCCCAGCATCCAAGGAGGGCTCTGCAACCAGACTGGCTGGGCAAGGAGAGGTGTCCAGGCCACCGGAGGTCGTAGCCTGAGCTCAGCAGCCTGGCCCTACTGCAGCACACACAGGCTCTTCACTCTCAAACCTGGAGACGGACCAGGCTCTTTACGCTTGATTTTATTTGGGGGGTGGGTACTGGGGATCAAACTCTGGACCTCGCGCTTGTTAGGCAGGCGGCAGAACCACTAAGCTACAACCCTGGCCCTGTTTGAATTTTTTGAAAGCCCCATTTACAAATCCAGAGTCCACGCACTTGCAGCTGTGATCCTGACTTGCAATATTTCACATTTTCTACCCTTTAAAGCCTGTCTGTTTCTCGCACAGGTAATGAATGGAAGCACAGTTTTGATACCTTTGAGAGTTCACTCTCTAGCTAAACCAGCCACAAAATACCACATTCCAAACAAGAACCCACCAGAGTGTTACAAAGGCGGGAGGAGGTAACTCAGCGCAGTGTACAATTCCCCACATTCCCAACATTTTACATGCTCATTTAATTAAAAAGAAAGTCGGTTGCTCTGGATTCAGATGTGGTGAAATTTTCATCACTGTCAAAGGCATCAACCAGATTTGGGAATTTGTTAAAAGGTTAAAAATTGATACAAAACCTGCTGTAAATTAAGACAAAGGTAGATTAAAATGCGTCATTAACTGTCTCTTTAAATAAAGTAATGCTTTCCATAAAAAGCAAAGGTGGGCTTTTGCCTTGATGCTGAACAACGCTGGCTCTAGAATTCTGTGCAAGTCTGCACAAAAATACATTCTCTGAGAAAATGGTTTTCCACTTAGTGTGAACTTCAATATGACCAAGTTCAAAGGCAAATCACGATAAAAACTGCCATTGTCTTAAATTCTGCAGGCTAAGAGTTTCAGACAAGCTGCGGTGGAAAGCCACGGTTGAGAAACCCAGTGAAGCACAGGGACACAGCACGGACACTTTGGGTTTTGGAGTTGGAGGAAATTGGAGTAAAAAGTTGATTTTGTGTGCAATACTTTTAGACGCTCTAGGAAGACCCAAAATCATGATAGCCGTAGCAGTCTGTGAAAAAGTCACCTACAAAAGGGGGAGACAGAGCAGAGAGAAGAAATTAGAATTCTTTTGAAAAGGGGCACAGAGCGCCACATTTGAAATTCATGTTTTAGATTTCTCTGCTCCTGTGACCCCCAATGAAGGCTCCTTCTCAAGACAAGAGCGGTGCACTGGCAGGAAAGGCGCATTCATGAGATTGGTGCTCCGTATGGCTCAAAGCAGAGAAATTTAAAATTCTGACTTCTAAGGAATTTGGAAGGCACACAGTGAGTGTGTCAGCACTAAGACTCAAGGACGCCTGTGGGACAGGCCTCGAGGGCCTTCTGACCTAATCACCGCAAAAAGGTGCGAGCGGCTCAGCCTCAGGAAGGCTGCGCGCCCTGCTCTCAGACCCCACCAGCTGCTGCTTCCGCCCACGAGGAGACAGAGAAGCACAACTTACTGTAGCCTGCTGTCGCCGAGTTGCCGCCGTACCCATAACTTCCGTATCCGGCGCCTGGAAGAGAGCAGCAGGTTACAGGGTAAGATGTGGCCGGCCCCTGCCCCGTCCTTCCTGGGGGTCCCACATGACAGGGAGATGGCTCTCACCAGCATTCATGTAGCCTCCATGGTTGGCACCGCCAAACCCTCGTCCTCGCCCTCGCCCTCGGATGCTGCTGCCTCGGCCCCGCCCGCGGAGATTGGGGGGCGGGGGCACCTCGTTGTGCATGGGGCCACCCATCCCGAAGCCAGGATTGTGTGGCTGAGGACAGAGCAGAGCAGACAGCAGGGTCAGGCTACCCGGCCCCTGGATTAGACAGGGGCCACACCACTGAGGATGCAGGGTTGAGAGTCGGTCCAGTGCTCACCTTGGCAGCGAACTTTGGTCCGCCTCGGACAGGAACTGGTGCTCTCTTCTTTTTGTTGGCATCGAGGGCGAGGGGGGCATCAGGGAAAAGCTTCTCAAGCGCAGCAAGGGCAGCGTATGCCTTTGCCACTTTCTTGTTTGAGCCAGCACCTTGGAACTTCTGTCCATCCACCTCGACCTGGAGGGAACAGATGGGCGTGGTGCTGACACAGTGCCCCCATGGGGAACCTCCGCTGACTCAGGCTCCTGGTAAAAGCAGGGCCAAGAGCCTCACCTCCATGACGAAGCGCTTGTCGTGGCTGCCTCCAGTCTCAGAGATGAGCTCGTACTTGAGGCCTCGCCTTTTCTCATTCAGTTCCATAACTGGGTTCTTGCCATGCTTAGTCAGGATCGGCCCCTGCTGTTTTACGTTCTCAGGGAAAGCACAAAAGAAAACCAACAAACTCAGCTACAGGCTTTCAGACAGGGCTGTGGCCACGGCTCCACACCCCTGCTAGTCCTGCCTGTGTCCCTGCCAGCTCCTCTGGGAGCCTGCATCATCATGAGCAGCAGCCACCTCCACCTGCACCACTCTCCGGTAAAAAGAACATTTCCCCCGTGAAGCAAAGCCCAGCTTTCCGGCACACAGGGTCCCGCGGGAAGGGCTGCTCCTCACAGGAAAGATCCATGGCCAGGTGCCCACCACACGCTCACCTCAGTGGTGGCATCTGAGGGGAAAGTGGCGCTGGGGGTCGACACAGCTTCCACCACGGGGGGCGGGGCCACTACAGCGGGCTTCGCCTCTGTCTCCTCAGCAGAGTCCTCCCCCTTGCTGGAGTCCCTGCCTTCGGCACCTGTCGGCAAGCCCATGTCCTGTAACACCTGCAGGGTCACACACAGGACGGCAGTGAGGAAAGGCACAGCCTGGGTACCCTGGACCGGATGCACGGAGGGGTAGGCCCAGCCACCTGGCTGGATCTCTTCTTTCAGTTCCCCGGAGGGCCCTGACCAGCAGCCACACCTGAGAACCCTAAAGGCTTTCTTTGCCCTGTGTGACCTGGAAACGCTTGAAACCCTAACCATTCTGGTGCTTTGCGCTCTCCCAGAGACGCATGCTGTTCTCAGGGTTGAAGGTGCTCAACAAGTGGTTTTGCCACCAGGAAGGCAGCACCCAGGCCGCACTCACCTTTACAGCCACGTGCAGCTTGGCGGTCTTCTTGGAGGGCCCCGAGGCCTCAAATGAGCTGCCATCCACCTCCACGGACATGGTGAAGATGGGAGCGTGCACAGGGCCTGTCTGGGACACCAGCTTGTACTGCAGCCCTGGCTTCAGCTGGTTCAACCGCATCAGCGCATTCATGGCCTGGGGAGGCTCAGCCTTCTCCTCTGAGGACAGAGCACCAAGCTGGCTCAGGCTGAGGTTGGGCCTTGGCCACCCACAGCCCCAGCAACTCCGCTGCATGAAGGTTGGCATACGTATCTTCCCTGTTGTCCCATGCCCACATCTAGGTACTCACTTTTAAAAGTCTGATCTCCGCCCACCCCGCCAGTGTTTTGAGACCAGGTCTCACTATGTAGCCTAGGCTAACCCGGAACCCTAGGCCATCCTCCAGCCTCGGCCTCCTGGGTGCTGAAATTACAGGCCTGCACCACCACACCGAGCAGAACTTGAGTATTTGTATCGGAGAAAAAGCGCTACCAGGTCTTGTGATCACCACTCAGGGTGAGGCTTAACTAGAGCAGACGAGTAAGAGCAGCACGGCTTGCGAGGTCTATGTATTTACCTTTCTTTTGAATCTTCTTCTTCTTTTTGCTGGGGGACTTCTCTTCCCCATCCTCCTCCATGGGGCGTTTCATGGGTGTAATGGCGTAGGTGGTGCTGGGAGGGATTTGAACTGAAAGGAGACCGGATGGACATGACTGAGACCTGCAGCTGGCCACCCTGCAGAGCCCAGCCGCCTGGTGCACGCACACTTACCGATGTAGTCTACTGGGTTCTCGTTCTTTGGTTTCTTGGGCATCTTGGAAGGCAGGGGGTCCATGCCCAGGACTTTGTGAAGCTGGCCAAAGGCAGCGAGCCGCAGTGCGTGCTGAAGAAGGGGAAGAGGGGTCTGATTCGGTTGCCTGAACCCATGGCCACAGTATGTGCGCTCACTAATGCCTTCTTATTTAGAGCAGGAGCCGGGGAGCTGCTAATGGTTTCCCCTATGTCAGCAAGGGGTCCCCCGACAGCTAGGGCAGGGCCTGAGCGCTCGGGCCCAGCCTTGCTGCGGGGGAGGGCCAGCCTGTGACCACCCCCCTCAAGAGGAATACAGGAGGCCCCAACCTGGGGACTGGTTGCCACACGGAGCCAGGTGGTGGCCTGCAGGGAAGGACCCCAGAGCAGGCTTCACAGCAAACGTCGCCCTGCTGCTCTCAGCGTGCAAATGTGGCACTGGGGCAGGCAAGGGCCGGACGACAACCACACATGGCACCAGGGGAAAGAAGCCCAGATTGGGGCGCCCTGTATCACACGGTGCCTTCGCCTTCAGTCCCCGACTTGAGCCTATGATCCAGGGCCTGCCCTGAGAAAAGCCAGTCATGGGACTGGAGCCAGTGAGTGCAGACTGGGTACGGGCTCACGTTGGCAATGGCGACGACTATACCTGCGCACTCTGTGTGATATCTTCCCGTTGCTGTCTGTCTAGATGCCCAATAGCATCAGTGGCTTCTTTTTCACAAGGGTCATAAATGCCAGAACCATCTGAAGGCAGGAAACAAGGAAGATATGCAGAGGATTATCTTTAGCATCTCGGTGAAGTAGTGCTGGCTGAGGGAACCAGGTGCGTTACCCCCCACGCCCCATCCACACCCAGCTCTGGAAAACACGCCGAGCTCGGTGACCCACTCAGCGTCCAGCCCTTGACAGAAATAATCCACTTGTGTCTCAGAGCAAGAAAGTCACGTGGGAGTGGGTCACCACTGCCCCCGGATCCGCCCTCCGAATCTCGGCTGGGGACCCGGCACAGGGCTGGATATGATGGTGCAAGAGGGTAGTCACATGCTTCACCCTAGGGGACACAGAGCTGCTGCTGTCCTAACCCAGTCAGTGGATCAGCGAAGAGGGGGCCATGGGCCTGATTCCTGTCCTTTCCCTGTTTCCCTGCCACTGGCAAAGCTCAAGCCCCAACCTGGCATCACGATGCCGGACGCAAGGCACTCCAGCACTCTCCGCAGGGCCTCGCCAGCACCCATTGGCCGGTTGGCTGTGCCGATGGACTTCTCACACAGGAGCTCCAGGGGCTGGAAGGAAAGAGGGAAAGTGAGTGACTGGCTGTGGCACGAGGATGACCTACATGGTAAGGTGCTATCGCTGGGGGCGTGGGGTAGGGCACAGGAGTCACAGCCGTGCAGCCAATCAAAACTGAAGGCCACAGGTGGAGTGCAGGCAGACCACTTCTTCCCTTTTGCTGTGGTCCTGGGATTGAGGCTAGGGCCACACACAGGCAAGGTGCAAGGCAAGTTCTCTACCACTAGCTACAGGTAATAGTTTAAACCGGTTTTTCTTCAGAGGGCCAGATATGGAATCTTTCAGGCTGCACGAGCCAAGAGGCCATGCTGAGGGTACAGATGAGGTAGGTACTTCTATTTAAAGTGAAATATTTAAGGATACCAAGCTGATCTTTAATGTGGATGGTAAAGAGACAGGAAGCTGCTGACAGCCAGCCGAGCCCTGGCCTGCTGACTGTACAAGAGTATCTGGGGCTAGGGATTTAGCTCAGTGGTTCCAACCCCTGCCTTGCAAGAACAAGGTCCCTGAGTTTAATCCCCGGTACCAAAAAAAAAAAAAGAGCATCTGCACACATTCCCTCAGTGGGTCTTATCATCCTCCCCAGTGTCCTTGTCTCACTTTTAGCCCACTAGGGCAAGAGCTGCAGCAACTGCCCAACAAGCAGTCCCAAAGGTATGGGACAGCCACAGCTCAAAGGCCCAATGTGCAGGAGACCCCCAGCACACATCACCCCGCTGTCCCCAGCTGTCTGCAAGGTGCCTTACCCATCCTCTGAGGGGACCCCAGGTGGGGACACGGGTGCACAGGTCCCTCAGGACCCGGATAACAATGACGCAGGACTTCAGCCCATTGGCCCTGGCCTAGAGGAAGAAAGCACAGGTGGTTTTCATGAAGGCAGCTTCACGGACACACAGCAAACATGAATCACACAGTCTCATAGTGCTGCTTTGCCAAGTGTAAATGCTAAGTGTATGTGGCCATCAAGTGTGCGGCCACAAGTGACTTAATTGAGTGTACTTGAAGGTGTTACTCTTAACACAAAGCAGCAGCAGCAGCCCACCTGAACTGTCACAAGCCTCCTTGAGGTGTCAAATTGTTTTGGGTGCACTCTGTTAGCAGCTGCGTGGTGGCAGGTGCTAAGACCGGCACGGCTCTCATCAATGGTACCGAACCTTAACGGTCAGTTAGCCAAGTTAAACTTAGGAATTCGCTACCAAAAGACAAAGAGAAGAACAAAATGCAAACCTGGAACCACTTGGCGTGACGGAGGGACGCCAAGGCAGCAAGGCATTTCTGCCTGTCCAGAACGTCCGGGGGGTCGTTGACTGATAGCGTTTCTATTCATGGATGGAATAAGAAGACAAGGCACAGTTTGACCAAGGGGTTTCTGTCAGGTGGAAAGGGGATGTGGCAGCTTCCTAACGGGCAGCTGAGTTTCCCAGAATCTGAATTCATCTCCACCCTTGAGCAGGGAAGGAGAAGCTAGAATATAATGAAGTCTGCCCTGAGAGGAAATTGGAAAAATCAGATGCCTCCTCCTCAAAAAAAAAAAAAAACAAACAAACAAACAAAAAAACAAAAAACCAAAACCAAAACCACCAAAAACACCAAAAAGCAAAAAACAAAAAAACCAAATCAAACCAAACACAAAAACAAAAACAAACAAAAAAAAAATAAAAAGCAAAATCAAAAGTGGGAAGTAATTCTAAGAGGAATAATCCACGGGGGAGGGGAAAGATAGGCAGATCCTATCTTCTAACAAGACTGTTCCCTTGCGTTCTCCCCATATAAGAGCTAGTCTAGAATTTTCAATAGCAAAAACAAAACAAGACAAAGAGGTGGGAGGAGTGGAAATGAACTCCCTCTCTGCCCTAGCCCCAGCCCGTGACAGAGAGAGTCCTGTTGGTCAAAGGTCCAGCGTCCCTAAGTGGATACACTAGAAGGGCTTTGGTCGTCAGAATCAGAAAAGCCAGAGGTGATGGGCAACAGCACAGGGCACCTTGTCGGCTTACACTGCAGCAGGGCCCAGTGTGTCTGTTCAGTCGTCTGCCCGGTAGGGAAGTGACTGGGCCAGGGCAAATGAACTGTGGACAAAGCATCAGCAACCAAGGTGCAGGGTCAGGTGGAAAAGCACACACCAGTTTAAAACGCCATCCAACACTGCACCAGGCCTTGCCATCTCAGACAGCTGGCTGACGGAAATGCCAGGGGCAGAGAACAAATGAGACACCCTTGGCACTGCTGCAACGCAGGCTGGCCTCGCCCAACTCTATTAACGCGACATTCCTGTGCAGCCACGTGGCTATCGTCAAAATGGCTTGAGGGAAACAAGTGTTACCACTTACACTTGAGATTCTAGAATTCAGAACAACAAAATCGTGTGATTCCCCTATGAAAAGCGCTACTCACTTTTAATGCCATTTGGACAAATTCCCAATGCTCAAGGTCACTGAGAGACATGCTCGCAGAGTGAAAGCGGACACAGCTATACCTGTGCCAGCTATGCAAAGCACTCCAAAACTGAACAGCACATTTGAATGGAGAAGGAACACCTGGTTTCAAAGTTCTGCAGGCCTGTCTTGGCCTCCTACCTCCAGCTAGCATCTTCTCCATCTCTTCTCTGACAACGGGAGATGTCAGGTGAATGGTAAGAGACAGCGGGGGCTCTTTCGTATTTTTTATCACAATTGCAGCATCATCCACAGACTGGAGTATTTCATATTTGTCTTTTTTTTATCACAATTGCAGCATCATCCACAGACTGGAGTATTTCATATTTGTCTTCTGTTACAGCCTGAAAAAGAAAACCCAAATTCAAAATACTTCCTCAGCCAGGCACAGTGGTGCACACTGTTATTTGAGCAAGGTAGGAGATTGAGACAGGAGGATCCCAAGTTTGAGTCCAGCATGGGCAGCTTAGTGACTTGAAATATTTAAAGAAGGGCTGAAGCTGGGTGTGCTGGCAGAGGCCTGTCAACTGAGCACACAGGAGGCTGAGGCAGGAGGACTGCTCCAAGTTCAAGGCCAGCCTGGTCTACATAATGGATCACTTCAGTCCAAGAGTTTAAGGCCAGGCAGAGTGACACAGTAACATCTTTATCAAACAAAAAATGTACTGGGTTTAGAATCAGGGAGGTGACCAGCATGTAATTCCTCTTTATCACTTAATAGTAACTTTAGATAAATCAGTCCCATCAAGACCAAGGTTGATGATTTATACAATGAACCCAACATGCCTACACCAAAGGACTGCAGGGCACAACAACTGGGCACTGTGCAGGAGACAGCACAGGGTAGCACATGGTCCCAGACACCCACGGTGATATAGAAAGATGTTTACTAGTACAAATCTGCAAGGAGGCTCACATGTGTGACTTTACTTTTTTTGTGCTACTTTGGCAGCAAACTCAAGCTTTTATTGCTTTTATAAAAGAAACAGTACTGTAATCATCACATAGTAGAGAAAATACACACACACACACACTGGAAATAAAAATTAGAATTTTTCTTTTTTTGTGTGTGTTTTTTGAGACAGGGTCTCACTATGTAGCCCAGGCTGGCCTCCAACTAGCTGAGATCCTCCCACCTCAGCTTCCTGAGTTCTGGAATGACAGGCAGGCGCCACCACACCCAGCTAAATTAGGATTTTTCAACACTAGCACCATCAGCTTTCCAGGCCAGGTAACCTGGTTGAGGGGCTGCTCTGTGCCCTACAGAATGTGCAACAGCACCCCCCGCACACCCCCTAGGTGCAGGGAGCACTCCACTCTCCCCTTGTGCGCAGACACACCATACGTGTGTATGGGGAGGGGGCTGTCAGGAAGCACTGAAGTGTTTTTTTCATTTTGTAGTAATGGGAAATTGTATCCAGGAAACCACATCTCTAGCCTGCCTATCTATCCATCCAGCCATCTAATCTATCTTATCTAGACTAAAAGTCTTACTAAACTTTGCAGGCCAAGCTGAAATTGGCAATCCTCTGCCTCAACTTTCTTGTTGTAGTTTTTTTTTTTGAGACAGCATCCCACTACGCAGGTCAGGCTGGCCTTGAACTCACCATATAGCCCAGAGTGACCTCAAACTTACAGAGATCTCCTGTCTCAGCTCCAGGTACTAGGACTATAAACATGCACCACCATGCCTGGCTCATGCCTCGGCTTTTTGGGATGACACACACACACACACACACACACTGCCCTGCTTTTTCCGTTTTGTTTGTTTTTAAACTAGAAATGGAACCCTGGCCCTCAGCACACACTAAGCCCATGTCCAGCACAGGCCCAAGCACAGAGCAACACCTCAGCCCCTATCCACTCCTCCATGTTTGCAGAATGACTCCTAGGCTGGGGGTGTGGCTCCATGGTAATGCTTTTGATTAACATGGGGGAGGCACTGGATTTGATCCCCTGTGCTGAAGGAAAAAAAGGAATGACTCTTCATCAAGTATTTACAGTGATCTGCTGCACTTGACTTTTTTTTATAGACAATGACGAAATTTTAAAGTCACTACTAGAAGACACTTTAGGGCATCATCATTAGTTGCTGCTTAGTAATTTCTAACATACTACATGGCTCTCTGTCCTGAATCACAAATGCTCAGTCCCGTATGACAAAACACACGTTTGCATGAGAAGATTCTTCTTTTCAATGGAACAAGATTTAAGATCATTTTAAATTTCCTCTTTTGGGCTAGGGATTTAGCTCAATGGCGCCACGACTGGCTTGAAAGCGCAAGGTCCTGAGTTTGTTCCTGGTACCACACAAACTCACTCACACTCACTCACTCTCACACACACACACACACACACACACACACACACACACACAGAATTAGCTTCAATTTTCTTTGGTAGCTAAAGCCACAGTGATCAACCTGCAAATGGCAGAGCACACAACAGTGGTGCAGTTAGGCCCTACCACTCCCCTCTGGCCTCTCAGCTGACTAGCCCCAGGCCTCCAGCCTCCCGTCAGCACACTCAGAGCAGGACTGGGCTGCCAGCGGTTCAGTGCTCCCTAAATGTCACAGTCCATTCCTTACACAATGCTTTTATAATGGAGCAAATAACTGGGCTTTTGAGAAAATGATGTTAGCTGGACGTGCTGCCACACACACTGTAATCCCAGCACTCTTGGAAGGCTGAAGCAGGAGGATCCCAAGTTTGAGATCAGCCCAAGCAACTCAGTGAGACCCTGTCTCAAACTAAAAATAAAAAATGGAAGCTGCAGATACAGTTCAGCGTGAAAGCCCTGGGCTCAATCCCAGGAAGGAAGGCAAGGAGGGAGGAAAGGAGGGAAAGAAGAAAGAGTTCGATGTATATATGGGTTTGACACAGGAGGAAGAGTTAATTCTAATACCGTCCGTTCATCTTGAGGACCCAGACTAACAATCCCAGCTCAACTGTCTTTAGTCTTATGTGGGTGGTACATGGCAGGCATGGTGTCCTCGCAGCTGTTGGTATGTCTGGCTGACTGCCCCAGACCATCAGCGGCTCTGTGGTATCCCCACACCACATTTTTTTTTTTTTTTTTTTTTAACCAGAGCCTGTTTTCCTACCAGTGAAAATTAGGAAACAGAGGAGACAAAAATGTGATGGCTTCACAAATTTGCGTGTCCTACTTGCACAGGGGCCAGGCTAGTCTTCTCCATACCATTCCAATTTTAGTGTATGTAATGCCGAAGCAAGTCTCTCCTGTCACTCACTGAAAGGTATCCCCACAGCAGATTCAAGGGGAGCCTGCTTCCTGGCACACAGGCGCACACACACTGGTCCTTTCTTCCTCTGCCTCACACGCTCCACAGTTCTCTGCCCCATTCCCATCCCCACCACGACCCAGTCCACTCACAGCAAGCTGGATGGCCAGGTTGTCAGCCACCTTGTCCAGGAGGGCCGTTGTGGGCTTCTCCTTACATAGCAGCACCAGCTCTAGATCCAAGTCCCCCTTGAGCAGAAGACCCTTCGCCACCAGGCCGACCCGCATCACGCCCCGCAGGGTCCTGGTCATGTGTTCCGCCTTCTGTTCCCTGCAGGACACACACAGGCCGGCTCAGCAGGGGGTTGCTCTGCCCAGAAGCCAGCGAGGCAGTGCTTCTTAGGAAAGCGGTGCCGAGCACGAGGCCTCGAACCTACCCGGCGCCTTCTTTGCTCTCGTCGTCTGCGGGCACATCCATGTTGTCAGACTCGGCCTGCTCGCTGTTGCCTTTCTCTTGCTCGTCGATCCAGTCAGACACAGCTTTGAGAGCCCGCTCGGTGTGGGACACCATGTTCTGCACTGCCTCCAGCTCCTCTTGGGTAGGATACACCGAAGAATGCTTTGCCATCACATGGCGATCGTCATTCACAAAAATCCGCATTGGACGCTGGAAACGTGAAAACTAAGCTAAAAATGAGGTCAAGACACCGGGCAACCCACAACTCATTACTCAAGATGCACAGCCCAAATGCTGCTCTCTATCCTTCACGTGAAGTAAGACTGGATGAACACACTGAAGGAAGGGCTGAGAAACAAGCCAACTGTTCTTCCCTCTGGGCGGGTGAGGGACGGGCAGCTCGGCTAGCTCTACAGCACAGTAGTCCCCCCTTATGCGCTGGATATACTTCAAGACCCCGGCGGATGCCTGAAACCGCGGACAGTGCCGAACCCACATCTACTACGCCTTTCATCAACATACAGATGTATGTAGTTTAATCTAAATGAGGCAAGTATGAGGTTAAGAATTACTAGTAACAGCAATTACAACAACGTCTGAATAAAGTCCACATGGACGTGGTCTCTCAAAATACCTTAGTGCAGGTACTCACCCTTCTTCCTCTCGTGGTGAAGTGGTGATGGTACAATGCCTACGTGATGAGATGAAGTGAGGTGAATGACGCAGGCATGGGGATCGGGCGCAATTTACAATTTATCAATTGTTTATTTCTGGAATTTCCACTTAATATTTCCAGACTGCGGTGGACCGCAAGTAACTGAAACCGCGGGAAGCGAAAACACGGATAAGGAGGGACTACTGCATTCGAATTACTAAGATACATATTACTTTATAATTCACAAAGTCCAACAGAAAACGATCACAGAATCAAATGCTTTGGGGAACTGCTACAAACATCTTTGTATGTAAAGAAATAGTATCTGCAATCAAAGAAAAAAACTTACCATTTTCACTTTTCTCTGTAGTGTCTGGGAATCAAACTTTTGCTTAGCTTTTCAAACTGTGACAGATTTCCTTGGTGTTACCAATACTTCAACTATCTATAAGACCAGAAAATCTGTTTAGTTCCAAGTATTTTACAAACAGGTTCATTTTAGCAGCCTCACCAAGGGGCCAATCGACACAGCAGGATACATGAGGGACTGATCAGCCCTAATTATAACTCTTATTAAAATGGAAGCTGTTTATTTTTGTGATTTTTTTTTTTTTTTTGGTACCAGGGATCGAACTCACATCCTTGCACTTGCAAGGCAGCCAGCGGAACCACTGAGCTAAATCTCCAGCCCAGTCTGTTTGTTTTTGGTACCAAGGATCAAACTCCGAACCTTGCACTTGCGAGGCAGACGGCAGCACCACTGAGCCAAATCCCCGGCCCAACAGTGCTTTTTAGGAGCCACCTCTCACTTTATATCCACACTCAGATGGTTCTTACTTTCCTCTTCTTTTTCTACCTTCTAAAAATATTTTCTTTTTGGTTTGTTTTTTAAACAGTGTATCACTGCATGGCACAGACTGGTGTAAAACGTGCCATCCGTCCTCCTGCCTCAGTCTCACAAATACTGGATTTACAGGCATGTGCCACCATGTCTGGTTAGCCTGCCATTTTGTGTAAATATAAAGTAAAATGACAAGTACAGCTTGCATTTAAAACACATACAGGGCCAGGGATTTAGCTCAGTGGTTCTGCTGCCTGCCTCGCAAGCATATAGTCTGGAGTTTGATCCCTGGTACCAACAAAACAAATAATAAAACACATACAGTACTTAGTATTATGTATTAGGCACTAAATCCAATCCTTAGCAACTGAAAACAGAACAGAACAACATCAAAAAACCCAGGTGTGGTGGCATATGCCTGGCACCCCAGCACTCAGGAGGCTGAGGCAGGATGACCATCATGAGTCTGAGGCCAAATAAATAAATAAGTAAATTTAAAAACCATCAAAAATTGCGCATTTGACAGACATGGAGCAGTTACTGTCGACTGTTTCCACTGTAGATGTTAAGAAAAATCTATCAATGTCCTTGCACCTTCTGACTGTGGCAGCTAAGATTCACAAGGGGAGGAAAATATGGAGACTTTCTGCAATTTGGGAATAATCTTGTCAAGACTGAAGAATCCACTTCACTCCAAAGAGGATAAAAAATTTTTTGGGGGGAGGTAGCACATCTTGCTATGTATTCCAGGCAGGCCTCAAACTTGCAGTGATCCTCCTGCCTCAGCCTCCCACATGCTGGGGTTACAGGACTGTGTCACCATCCCTGGCCAAAGGACAAAAAATTTTAAAATTTGAAAAGCATTGGGAAATATCCCCTAGCATGTTCACTCCGCCGATTACATCTTTAAAGGCTTAACACATTCACAAGGGGGCTGTAATTCATATGTCTGTCTCCCTGCCGGGCAGCTCTGAACCACTAGTGGTACAAGCATGGAACGAGTTCCCTCAGGTGATACCAGCCACACAAGGGGACCGTCATGCATATATCACCAGTGGTTCAAGCCAAGAGGAATATCAAAAAAGTTAAAACAAAAAATATTAAGTGTCCCAAAAATGCTACAGACAGAAATGTTCCTGAAAATCTTGGTATGTCAGCAAGGCACAGTGATGCACATTTGTAATCCCAGCACTTGGTGTCCAGAGAAAGAAAAAAGAGGAAAGGACTGGGGATTTAGCTCAGTGGTACCACACCTGCCTCACAAGCGCAAGGTTCTAGTTGGGTCCCTGTTACCACAAAAAAGAGAGAGACAAAAGAGAAGAGAAGAGAAAAGCTCAGGGCCTTGCACTGGGGCCCAAAAGGGCTTTTGTGGAACAAAAAACCAGTAACTTTCTGAAAAAGTTACCAGGCAGATGTAACCTTGGAGAGGCCACCACTGGAATAGTCATCTACTATGCACTCAGCCACAAGCTGCGTGGCCTTGAACAGTTTCCTGGGACTTTCCTTCCTACACCTGCAAAATGGAAACAGTGCTCTACCCTCTGCAAAGGAACTGTGAAAATTAAATGACCCAATCTACCTAAAGCAAGCAGCATAGATTTCAAATTCTCAAAATGGTACCACTAGGCTTCTGGAAGCTAATGAGCAATGTGCATCTCCACGTGTGTCCTAATTAAATTACTGTCCAGCTAGACATAAATGATGTGATGGTTGTCTGATGCAAATTTCAGATAAGTTCTGGCTGAAACTACAAGGCTGGTATTTGCTCTAAAATATTCTGGGGGTGGGGGACAGAAGGATGAAATAAGAATGCAAAACACTGACAGCTGTTGAAGCTGGGAGACCAATACACTGAAATCTATTTGTACATGTCAGAAGAGTTCCATGACAGCATTTTTGTTTATTTGCTAGTTTTGGCTGGCTCTGAATTCATTATGTAGCTCAGGACGGCCTAGAACTCATCATGGTGATCCTCTTGCCTCAGCCTCCTGAGTGTTGGGACTCAAGGTGGATGTCACCATGCCTAGTTTCCGCGACAGTTTTTTTACAATACTGAGGAATGAATACCAGAGACTCCACTACCAAGCTACATCCCAACCCATTTTTTAAAACTTTAGTTTAAGACAGGTCTTGCTAAGTTGCCCAGGGGCTTGCTTGTGATACTGCACCCAAATTAATGTCATTTTTAATGCATAGTAAGTTTGTACACTTACCAATGTTTAGCCATGGCAGGTAAACTAAAAAAAAACAAGGCTCAGAAAATCACCGAATCCTGTTTTATGACAAGCTTGGAAAATACTTCTGAGGTACAAGTAAGGAGTCAGGGTAGTGGATGGACGGACACTTCAATTCCTTCTATCCTGCAGTCTCACCAATTTGAGTGATGGCTGCCATTTATTTACCCCATTTGTTCAAGTATTTAGCAAATATATATCTCATGCCAGGCATGGGGCCAGATGCTAGGGCAGTGACAGACAAGGGACTGGTCCCTGTTCTCTGAGCAAAAAAGAGAAGCTCCACCCTTCCACCCAGTCAGCAAGCTTTACACTCCATTGTCTCCACTACAAAGACAACGCACAGCCTCTACAACAAGGCTCTAGGGGGCAAAGACCTTCTTATTAAAGGGCTTTAGAACCAGAATGTCTAAAATGAGGTTCCTGGGCCTTAGCTCAGTGGTTCTGCTGCCTGCCTCACAAGTACAAGGTCCAGAGTTTGATCGCTGGTACCAAAAAGAAAACAGAAAAAAAAATTATATAAAATGAAGTTCCTGAAGGAGATGACTGGGTACCTACCACAGGAAATGTATCAGGTGGACCAGAGCCATGCTGCAGTGTCAGAAAACCCAGAAATAATGGACGTGGTCGAGTGCAAGCTCCCAGAGAAGGTAGAAGTAGTAACTTGCAAGGGCTCTATGTAGGACAACTAAGATCCAGAAGGGGTAACACACACTTCTGCCTATAATGAAGGTCTAGGATAGTGAAACCATCAAATGTTGGAAAAATTCCAAGTGGTGGATTCCAAATTCTAATGGGGATGGTTGCAGGGCTCAAATGGACAGGGGCAGGCTCACTCTGGCTTTTCTTTGGGGTGGGGGCGTTGAGACAGGGTCTCACCATGTAGTTGAGACTGACCTGGCACTCACTACGTAGCCCAGGCTGGTCTCAAACTCACAGTGATCCTCCTGCCTCAGCCTCTGGAATGGTGGGATTACAGGCATGTGCCACCACACCTGGCTTCTCACTTTTGCTTTTTAGGTCATGGGGCTTGAGTACATGCCGCAGTTAAAATTCCCTGATAAGCATACTTACACTCTGTGCTTTACTTCAAAAGAAAAAACAACAACTAAATAAATACTGAACTTTAGTTAACATGCAGAGGAAGACTTTCAACTCCTTAGCTTGAAATGCATCACAAAAATTAAAGTGGCTGCCAGGTGTGGTCGCACACACTTGTAACTTGGAAAGCAGAGGCAGTACAAGAGTTTGAGGCCAGCCTGGGCTACACAGAGAGACCCTGTTTTTAAGAACAAATGAATGTCTCCGCCGGCCTTGCAAGCACAAGGACCTGAGGTAGATCCCAGGTACCAAAACAAACAAAATGATTATTTAAATTGACTGAGAGATGAACAGCACCAAATGCCAATGGCATAACCTGTTACATGTACAGGTAAGTGAATACTATAATATGATATTTCTGAACACTTTCATAATACAAATCCATGAATTCATAAAGATACAGAACTTAACTATGCTCTACTCTGAAAATCCCATCTGACACACTGAGAGAAGCCATCTTTCCACTCCTGGGAATAAGAACACTCACCAGGTCAACAATTTTCCCATCCAAGGCACCTCCAGGACAGCACACACCCAGGACAACGGTCTTCATACAATAATCCTGCCCCTGGTTTGTGTCTGCTGCCTGCACCACTGAAATTGACATCTGTGAGTGCTTGGGCAACGGCTGCAACCTCACTCCATCCTAGGCTACAGCATGGGCCCTAGAGCCGACCCACGGGGCCCTGGTTGGTTGGCTTGGGCCACCACACCCCACCTGCCTGTGGCCCTTTCATCCCCAGGGCCTCCTCTAGACCAGGCCACAGTGACAATGCCTCCAGATTCTGATAGATCAAAACCAATGTTTAAAAACTGGGAACTGTTCTTCCTTTGCAGAGCAACAAAGCTAACCTCAGTTGTCTTCCATGTGAGCACAGATCTGTCACCCAACTCAGCTGCACTGGCCTTGAATACTAGGGATTCATCTCATAAACTCACTCTAGAGTCCCCTCATCAAGCAGAAACTTCCTAAGAGATTTTTTAGGGAGTAGCAATGCTGCCAAGAAGGCCACCACACCCACTTACAGGCAAGGCTCCACCGTCCCCAACCAACCTAACCTAATGTAAAAGCTGCTCCTGTAATCGCGGTCATGACTCAGACCTGGGCACCAATGAGAGCAGCCTCTCTGAAGGGGCAAGGAAGGAGGGGTAAGTGAAGCATTTGGATTTTAAACTTGATTTCCACGTGGGTTGGGATGTTCCAACATGCAGGGATCTGGTTTCTTTTTATTCCTGAAATCAGCCCACCCACAGCATGCAGACTTAAGA